TATTATTATTAAATTTTATTAGTTTTAATGAACATTTATAGGGATTTTGGGTTTTCAGTCCTTCATTGCTGCACCATTCTCTCTACCCTCCTCCCCAGTTTGTTCTTCTTCCCCACCATCCGAATGTCTGTTTTAATTGTCCAATTGGCACAGTGCTTGTCAAAGCCAGTTCTGATTAATCTTCTTTGTCAGTGTATCCTTTGCCATTACCTATCACTCCTCCCTGAGAGAGACTTCACCCTGATTCATAAGGAAAAGGGGGTGGTGTATTCTCTTAGCTACTTCCTGCTGAAAAGGGACGCTGTGGGTTTCAGGGTGAAGATCTTCTCTCACTACTCTAAAGGGCCCATTTGGCAGTAGGAAACACATAGACTATTATGGAGATTGATTTTGGAATTTAGATGCACTCTTATTGATTGTGCTTGGCCATACATGTTCATATCCTTGAAGATGTATCATGGGGGTGTTGCAACCTAGAAGACACAAATTTAACTAACAAGTTATAAGTACATGAGTCAAAAATTATGGAAAAGTAAAAGAAAAGATTCTTTCATTGTTTTACAAACCCTCCCCCAGGTCCCCTCCACCATGTAGCCCTCGCTCTAGACTCCTGTGATGACAGAAATACCTAGTCACATATCTCTTCTAAAACATATTTTTAAAACATACTCTTCTCCAACACCATGGTTCAAAGACATCAATTCTTTTTCTGTCAACCCTATCCATTGTCTAGCTCTCAGATGCATAGTATCTCAGATGTACATCAGTGCATCTCAGGTACACAGCAAAGGCATTTGACTGTGTGGAAAATGGCAAGTTTGGGCTGAGATTGGGAAAAATAGGAATCCCAAAGCACTTAATTACCTCATCTATCTAGAGAGGGGAATGCTGCATGGTTTAAAATTAAGAAGGGAATGTGTCAAGGTTGTATTCTCTCTCCATACATATTCAATCTGTATGCTGAGCAAATTGTTCAAGAATGTGGATTTTATGAAGAGGAATCAGGATTGGAGGGAGACTCATTGATCTGCATTATGCAGAAGGCACAGCATTGTTTGCTAAAAGTGAGGAGGATTTGAAGCACTTGTTGCAGAAGATCAAAGAATACAGCCTTCAATGTGGATTGAATCTCGGTGTCATGAAAACAAAGATTCTTACCACTGGACTGATAGACAACATCATTAGTCACTAACTTCATCTTACTTGAATCCACAGTTAACATCCTTGGTACCAGCAGTCAGGAAATAAGGAGACACATTGCACTGGGAAAGTCTGCAGTTAGGGACCTTTCCAAATTATTGAGGAGTAATGATGTCAGTTTGAGGATTAAGGTGCTTCTGATTCACAGCATGATCTTTCCAATCTGAGAGCTGATGCCAAGAGCATTATGTTATTTATTCACAATTTTATAAGGTCTGAGTTAGTAAGCATTTGTAAAATGCTCCTAACCCTCCACACTGTTAGGATAAATTTGTAATTACTCATTTTAAATTTAGAGAAATATTCTTATTCTCTTTAGGGAGATAAGAGCAAACATTCTGTGCTCATCAATGGGGGAAAGGGAAACTATTCTTTTGATCAGGTCCTCAGCTGGTTAGACTTTAAAATCTGTGTATCCAGCGTGAATAAAAGCGAGAACCAAAAAAACCAAACCCGTTGGCACTGAGTCAGTTCAGACTCATTCAGAGTGACCCAGGAAACCATTAGGTTTCCAAGGAGGTAAATCTTTATGGGAGCCGAATGTCTCACGTTTATCCCTTGGACTAGCTTGTGGATTTAAACCATCAGCCTTCTGGTTAGCAATAAGTAGGTTGTTGTTGTTGTTGTAACATGCCTGTGAGTCATAGTGAACCTATGTACAGCAGCTCTGAAGCCTTCTCTATCCTGAGCCAGTCTCACTGACTCCAACACACCTACTCCCATCTCCCAGTTACTTTATCAATTCATCTCATCCAGGGTCTTCTTGTCCTGCACTGTCCCTCCACCTTCTGAGCATGATGTCCTTCTTCATGGACCAATTTCTCCTGGCCACGTGTCCAAAATATGTGAGATGGAGCTTCAGAATCCTAGCCTCCAATGAGAAACTTGGTTTCACCCTCTTCAAGACAGATTTTTTTGTCCATGATATGTTCAAAATTCTTCTCCAGCACCACAAATCAAAGAAAGGCATCAATTCTTCTTCTGTTATCTGTAGTCATTGTTCAGATCTCTGATGTATAGCAAGTGATCGTGAAGACCGTGGATCAGGTACACCTTAGTCTGTTGACCTTGTTGTTTTCAGTACTATGGAGAGATCCCTGACAGCAGATTTTCCCAATGCAATACATCTTTTGATTTCCTAACTACTATTGCTTAGAGTGTTGATTTTGGAGCCAAGCAAGCTGTAGTTGTAAACAGCCTCAATCTCTGTGGTATTGACAATTCACTCAGTGGTGAGAATCTTTGTCTTCTTGATGTTGAGATTCAATCCATATTGAAGACTACAGTCCTTGACTTTCCTATCCCCTGCTGAATTTAAAAACCAACTCAGGTCAGTATGTACTTTGGGGGGGGAGGGGGGAAATAATGTTGATTTGATAAGAAAAAGAGCATCAATAGAATTTATTATTGTTGTTGTTATATGCCATCAAGTTAGAATCAACTCACAGTTGACCCTCCAGTGGACTTTTCAGTGACAGTGATCACACAGGAGGTGACTGCCCATCTTTCTCCCACAAAGCAGCTAATGGATTCAAACCTCTGTGTCAGTAGTGCAGCTCCTTACCACTGGGCCACCAGAGAAACTATATTCTCAGTGACCTTACCACAACAAACCATACACAGATGTTCAGGATAAAACAATATCAGGGAAAGATGATCTTTTCACATGAGTTAAGAACTAACTCCCTTGAAATTAACCAAATAGGGATGAGCAATTTATTATTACAAATTATTTATTCTTCCACTACTTATTATTGCAGTTATCTTTTTATCACAAAGACGATGAAGAAAAAACAAAAGTGGATGTCAGAAGAGAGGATGAAAATTGCATTAGGGCATCAAGAAGCCAAAACAAAAGGAAGGGATGCTGTTCAAGTTGAAGTGAGAATTCTTCAACAAAAGGGGCCATGCTTCTTCCCTCGCGTCTGATAGGGATGGGCAAATCAGAAATTGGCTATCTAAAAGGGGGAGATTAGGGCACGAGGCCTGAATTAGCTGGTTTATACATGTTCATAAATGTACCTATTAGTAAGATGATTGTAAGGGGGGAAAACCCACAATATACAGCAACAAAATCTAATGTAAATGAAAGATGGTAAAACACAGTGTAAAAGCACAATGATCAGTCATGAAATACCATTTATATAAATGATTACAATATTATTAAAATATAACTATAGTCTTTGACATGGATTATATCTAAATATCAAGAAAAATTATTCTCATCATAGGACCAACAGAAAATACCAGTATAGATGGAGAACGGACTGATGCTATCAATGATTTTGTCTTACTTTGATTAATAATCAATAATAACCTTGGTACTAGTAAGGAAATGAGGAGATATATTGCATTGGGCAAGTCTGATTGCCCAAAAAAGCAATGATATAAGTTTAAAGACTAAGGTGTGCCTGATTCAGGCCATCATCTTTTCAATCACCTACTACATACCAGAGAACTGGACAATGAATAAAGATGGCAGACGGAGAATTGATGCCTTTGAGTTGTGGTGTTGGAGAAGAGTACTAAATATCCCATGGACTATCAAAACATCAAACAGATGTGTCTTGGCAAAAGTGCAGCCAGAGTGCCCCTTGGAGGCAAAGATGATGAAGCTTCATTGGACATTCATTGTGGACATGTTGCTAGGATATTCCTTGGAAAGGAACATCATGCTTGGAAAGATGGAGGGTCATCAAAAGGGAGGAAAGCCCTCAATGAGATGACTTGGCACAGTGATTGCAGCAATGGACTCAATATTTCAGAGATGATGAGGATGGCGCAAGATGGGCCAGGTTCTTGTCTCTTGTTCTTCTGGTCACTGTGAGTCCTGTTGGACTCATGGCACCAAACAACAGCAACCAATTTTTTTTTCTCATATCATTAATGTAAATAGATGTTTAAAATTCAGAGTTTATGTAGGTCCCAGTAGAAAGGCCGGAATGTTAAGTTTCTTATTTTTAGCATCCCAGTAGTCACATTCCAGGAGAAAGACGTTAGATATTGAGTTATTCAGTCCAATAATATAACAAAATTAAAAAGAAAAATAATCACTACTCTAAATGTTACTGTGTAGCATCATCTCTATAGTCAATCGATCCTCAGACCCCCAGTCCATACAGTACCCTTTTCCTCTGACCGTAGCATGCTTTCTTCTGCAAAGATGTCACATACTAGTCACACGTACTTGTCACTTTAGAAATCCTAACTTTGAGCTGTCATACAAGTAGATCAATCAGACCAACACTTCTCCTTAGAATATTATTTTGCTTGAAGTCCTGTAGTTTCCCAAGCTTTCAGGATGAGTTAAAATAGCTTGACTTCGTGCAAATCACCACTTATGGTCTGGGCCTTGTCCTAGGATTTATCCCAATCTACCATTCATCGATAGGGAACACCCGTGGCTTGGTGGCAAGGAGTTGTGCTATCAAATCAAAAGCTTGTGTTTCAAATCCACCAGCTGCTCCTTGGGAGAAAGATGGACCATCTCCTCCCGTGTGATTTACTGCCTCTAAAAACCTTATGGTGGGTCACGTATGAGTCAGTGCCACCTTGAAGGGACATAACAACAACAGTAACCACCATTCACAGGTTCCCTGTGAGACAGTCTTACTATATGGTGAACTCCATGTGAGTAGGATTTAGACCTAGTTCATCTTAGTATTACTAGTGCTTGGCCTATAGTGCTTCTCAGTAAATATTAACTGAATGGCTTAGTAGATGAATAGAAATGCTGTGCTGTTGCTAAAGCCTAACATGACTGTGGTTTGTTTTGTTTTGTTTTGTTTTCCTTCCTTAAGGACTTTGGCGTTATGTGCCTGCATCATTTGGTAGCTCTTGTCTTGATTTCCTTTTCATATGTCACCAATATGGCCCGAGTAGGGACCTTGATTCTTTGTCTTCATGATGCATCTGATATTTTTCTAGAGGTAAGAATTTTATCCTTAGGAGTACAAGATCCAGAATTCAGTAATGATCTCAAATCATCAGAGATGATTCCATGTGATGCTTGACAGTCACTAGGGAAGATGGTGAGAACTGATAGCCCAAAGGCTGACCCTCTCTGGCAGTTCAGATTCTCCAGCAGCTCCAGGGTGAAAGATGAGCAGTCTCCTCCCATGGGATGGACAGTATCCGAGCCCCAGTGGAAGGCCAGCTATCAGTCAGTTTGGACTGAACAGCAGTGAGTTTAACACTTGTTTAGTGGATAATGGCTAATTAATAGAAAGTATTACAAACTTGGGTCAAAAAGAGAGAGGTCTTTTTCTCTCATAAATAATTTGTGGTGTTACACCCAAGGTATTAATGAAATTTAAAATGTCATTTTTCTGCCTTCTACTTAGTTAATAGATAATTCTCTAAAGTGGTACATTTCTCTTATCACATGTATTTTACTTAAAAGTATTAGATTCAATCTTCTAAAAAAAACTAGAAAATATAAATATCTAAGAAGTAGGAAATTATTCTATGAATTTAAAAAATCCCTTTAACTTAGAACCTTTTTCATGTGTGCTGGAAATTCTATGTGAAAATGTAAAAAAGTTGTGATCAAACAAAATTATGTTTTCATTCTCCTCTGTTCTTACTTAGAATTTATCTTCTAAAATCTATTCATCTGGATGACAGAAAAAAAGAGAAGTAATTTCTTCCTTAATTTAGAATAGAAGATGTCAGTTAGGTCACTACAATAATTATTAGATACATATCAAAGATACTTTGAACTTTGGAGACTTTCACCCAGAAAAATGACTCCTTATTTAACATTGAATATTATAACTTAAGTGGAATAATTTAACTAACATGAACATGTTGTTTTCTTCACTTTAATAGATGGGAATAACCAGACAACTGTCTCCCCAAAGTTTACCCTGTATCTTTAAAGAAAACCTAAAATGCTAAGTAAACAGGAGAAAAAATATAAAGGGCTCCATATATTCTGTATCAGTTTGAGTAGCCTCAGTGTTTGTACCTCACTGAAGCTTTACATGATGACCTAATACAGTCTCTCTTGATGTATACCAAATTTCTGTATTGGTGTATTTGGCTTGCTAATATAATCTATAATGGAAGAATTTATTTTTATGAAATCAACCACATAATTAAATTCTTTAGGCTGCTGAATGTTTTATTAAATCTATGACAGTTGTCAGTGGTTCAACTTATGGCTAATGCAGCATTTCACTTGACTTATGAGTAATTTATAAACACTGTTGCATGATACATGACATTTCAAAGTAGCAGGCAATTTTATGCATCTGGTAAATTATAACTTAGAGGGGCTTCATGCATATTGAAAGAAACTTTCCATTTATCAGTTTAACTAAATTAATGTGTCACATTCCTTCCTTTCACAGGCTGCCAAAATGGCAATTTATGCCAAGTTTCAGAGAATGTCTGATCTCCTGTTTACTATGTTTGCCATAATTTTTATCACCTTCAGAATTGGTATATTTCCTGTCTGGTGAGTACACCAATCTGCTTTCCAAATGGGCTTTATGAATTCCTGATACTTAGGAAAAGGTTTAAAGAAAGGCAGTGAGTTGTTGTTGTTGTTGTTGTTGTTGTTGTTGTTGTTGTTGTTATGTGCCGTCGAGTCGCTTGTGACTCATAGCGACCCTATGTACAACAGCCCTAAACTCTGCTCTGTCCTGTGCCAATCACAACGAAAGGCTTAAAAAAAGAAAAACCCAACTTGATTTCATCTTCCAGAAGACAGTTACACCCTTTCCTAAGATCCTTCACAAAATAATTACAGAATGGTGTGTCTTGTATGAACCCACAAAAGTCCATCTGCCATTTTAGGCATTAGTCTAGAATATTGTAAGAATCTCAGCCATGAATGGTTGACTTTAAAAGGAAACATCGTGGAGTTATCAGGTACATATCAGGGACCTTCTCATGGCATGGTTCTAAAAGTCTTGTCCCTGAACCAATAACATCAGTGTCACTTGAGAAAGTCTCAGAAATGCCCTACTGGCTCCTACTTCAGAGCTGCTAAATCAGAAACCAGAGAAGGGCCTGGCATCATGTCTTTTGAGAAGTCTTCGATGTGATTCAGATACACACCAAAATTTGAGAACCAGTCATTGCTCTATATAATTCTTCACATTAGCTACATTTAGTAGCTAAAAATAG